GAGACAGAGTCTCACTTTGTTGCTCTTGGTAGAGTGCTATGGTGTCACAGCTCACAGCAATCTCCAGCTCTTGGGCTTAGGCAATTCTCTTGTCTCAACCTCCCCAGTAGCTGGGACTACAGGCGCCTACCACAAGACTTGGCTATTTTTTTGTTGCAGTTTGGCTGTGGCCGAGTTCGAACCCACCACCTACTCACTGAGCCATGGGCGCCACCCCTGCCTGGCTATTTTTTCAGAGACAGGGTCTCACTCTTGCTCAGGCTGGTCTGGACCCTGTGAGCTCAGGCAGTCGACCTGCCTTGGCCTCCCAAGTGCTGGGATTACAGGCATGAGCCACTGCCCCAGGCAAAATCTGTTGCTTTTTAGGGGAGATGCATGTCGAAATGCCCAGATGCCACGTGTGCAGGGCCATAGCAGTGAACTTCTGAGAGCTCATACAAGGAGCACAGCCCTATGAGAGGTAAGAAAACCCTGGAGCCTTTTTGGAGATTCTCTAAGAATTCACAAAAGTGAGTTCTCCTGAGCTCTGCCCACATGCATGATAGGCCCTTGCATCTAGGATACTCACTCCGTGTCTTCTGGACGGTGTTCAGCAGTGGGTGAACCAAGGCGGTGGCCTGTGGACAGGTTTTCAAGCTGAGTTGCTATGGCACTTATATTAGTATCTGCTACAACCTGGGGAAAAAGTCAGAACAAGATATTTCATTATAAAGCAGGGGAGAGTTAGAGAAATCCTGCTCTATCCAATGGTCAGTCCTCATCTTATTCAACCTATCTGCAGTATTTTTTTTTTGTTTGTTTGTTTGAGACACACTCTCAAGCTGTTGCCCTGGTTAAAGCATTATGGCGTCACAGCTCACAGCAACCTCAAACTCTTAGGCTTAAGCGATTCTCTTGCCTTAGCCTCTCAAGTAGCTGGGACTACAGGCACCGGCCACAATGCCCAGCTATTTTTTTTTTTTTTTTTTGGTTGCAGTTGTTACCGTTGTTTAGCTGGCCTAGGCCAGGTTTGAACTTGCCAGCCTTGGTGTATGTGGCCAGTGCCGTATGCACTGAGCTATGGGGGCTGCCATTTTTTCTTTTTTGAGACGGGTTTTGCACTGTTTCTCAGGCTAGAGCGCAGTGGCATCATTATAGCTCACAGCAACCTCAAACTCCTGCACTCACGCGATCCTCCTGCTTCAGCCTCCCCGAGTAGCTGGGAGTACAGGCACCTGCCACAACACCTGGCTAACTTTCCCACTTTTAGTAGAGACAGGATCTAGCTCTTGTTCAGGTTGGTACTGAACTCCTTCAAGTGATCCTCCTGCCTCAGTCTCCCAAAGTGTTAGGATTATAGGTGTGAGGTGTGAGCCACCCCCGGCCTATCTGCAGCATTTGCTACGGCGGGTTCTTCTCTCTTGAATGATCTTCTTCATTTGGCTTCCATGACACCACATTTGACTAGTTTCTTCCCCCGCCCCCACCACTCCTTACTAGTTCCCAAACCTCTAACTATTCCGGTGCCAGAGGGTTCAGTTCTTGAACTTCTTATCTTTTCCATCAAGCATTTTTTTCTTTGTGATCCCATCTTGTCTTATGAATTTAAAATATCATCTATGGGATGATGATTCCTGAGTCTGCATCTCAAGCTCTAAGTTTTTGTTTTGTTTTGTTTTTTTTGAGACAGAGCCTCAAGCTGTCCCCCTGGGTAGAGTGCCGTGGCATCACAGCTCACAGCAACCTCCAGCTCTTGGGCTTAGGCGATTCTCTAGCCACAGCCTCCTAACTAGCTGGAACTACAGGTGCCCGCCACAAAAGCTGGCTATTTTTTGTTGCAGTTTGACTGGGGCAGGGTTTGAACCCACCAACCTCAGTATATGGAGCTGGCACCCTAATCACTCAGCCACAGGTGCTGCCCTCAAGCTGTAACTTTTACCAAGCTCCAGGTCCACACCTCCAGTTACCCACCCACACATCTTCAGCGGATGTCCAGGGGCGGCTCAACCTGACTTGTCCCAAGCTGAGCCCTCCTCCTCCAACCACTGCGCCTCCCTTCCTCATCTCAGCCAACCTCAAATTGGCTCTGCCAGTTTCACAACACCCTGCTATCAGCCTCAACTCCCCTCTCTCTCCCCCACAACCCACCCTCAGTCCTCCTAAAACTCTATTTGTCTGGAGTTCTGCCCCAGCCTTCTCGTCGCTCCCTGCTTCAGCCCTGTGGGTTACTACCACTAGGATGCCTGTTAAATCGGAGGACATTATTTTGTTCCTCTGCTTAAGACTGTCCAGGCTCGCCACCTGTGGCTCAAGCAGCTAAGGCGCCAGCCACATACACCTAAGATGGCAGGTTCGAATCCCCAGCCCGGCCCGCCAAACAACAATGATGGCTGCAACCAAAAAATGGCC